ATAATCTTGACATGTGTTGATCTTGTTTTCCTTTGTTTTGTTTTTTTATTGCAAATTTAAATAAAAAAAGTGGTGAAACTTATTTGTAAAATAATTTTGATTTCAGCAGAAATAAATGTCTACATCTTCGTTAGCACGGTGGGTAAGGTTGTCCTGCGAGAGAACGTTCTGTGCTGGTGATTCGGTCCTGTTATTAGAAAAACGGTCCTGGTTCTGTGCACCTATGTCCTGGTTCTGTGCACCTATGTCCTGGGTCTGTGCCTTTACATTTTAGTAAAAAGTGGCAAATATGTAAGATCATAGATGCAGAACATTTGTGTCATTGATATAAAATACATCAAGTATATATTTGTTGGATGAAATATTTCAGATGAGTAAAGTTAAGTCTACTTTGTTCATTTTATTTTTTTAGATAAGAAAATTTGCATGTAATTTGCGGGGTTTATATGATCTTTTTACATGACCATCAAAAGACGGTGCAAAGTATCCGATACCTATATAAAAAAGAAAATGTGATATGATTGCCAATTGGACAACTATCCACCAGAAACCAAATGACGTACATGTAGGTGTAAACAACAGTTACTATAGGTCAGCATACAACCTATTACAATGACTCGAAAAGTCAAAATGTATAAGGTTTTGCATAAAAATGGTGAGTATAAATATAGAATAAAGGACTTTTTTATACTGACTTTATCATGGTAAAAATATCAGGTGAGCCCGCACACTTCTTAGATGAATTTAGATGATAAATTAGGTGCAGCCTTAGCATCCTGGATATCGTTTCTCTGACAAATTTGTGCGGTACTTAAGATACTTTTCTTTTTATTCGAGAAAATGAATTTCAATCTTGTTTCTGAGTGTAAGAATCACGTGTCCTCAGCAGCTTAAATCAGAATTCTTTGTTTCAATTTGGTGTTTACTAAAAGGATGACAAAACTATTGATTTTTTTTTCTTTTTTGAGAAAAGGGGGATGGAGGTTACGGTGAAAGTTGCTAAGCACTGTAAGAGTTTTTAAATTCCGAACTAGTCGATAAAACAAATTTGATGCAGATGATCATGAACAATTTTTGACTACGGCAGGTATTAATTTTACTCTGAAAACATTTTCCAAAAAGGGGGTCCAAGTAAGATATAAAAGTTGTTATTGTGTTTATTAGCTAAGCTTCATTTACTGTACTTTTATGCATTTTGTCAATATAAAAACATGACCGCTGTTTGTTAAAACAAATTTGAGTTGTAGAACTGTACTTTTTGGTTTATATTGCAAAAGTTAGAGCAAAACTTACTGAGTAAAAACATTCAACAGGTCAATGTCTATCTACATTGCACTCTTCAGAAAATTCATATGATAGATAGAGGGATACTTTGAACTTGCACAGAAACTATATTAGATAGTAAGATCAGAGCTGTAAATATCAAAATGGTTAACACAGTTAGATCTACAAATAAGTGAAAGTGACCGCAATCGTCAGTCGACTCATTATAGCGTCATTGTCCTTAAATGACAATTTTGACCAATATTGGCGTTTTTACCTTATTTCTTGAAAGCTATAATAGAATGAAATGGACTTAAACTTGAACAGCAAAACGGATTAGCAATACGAGATCTATAAATAAGTTAATTTGAATGAAATTGTTAATTTTTCCTAAACCACAATGTTAACCCATTTGTTTTATTTTTTCAAAATAAAATGGATATACCGAAACCTGGTCCAGCAACATTTATCAGCAACATACAAAATTTTGACCCAAACAAGTTCCATTCAACACAAATATTCTGTTGCAATGAATCATTTTAAATGCCAGTTGCAGCCGTACGTCTGTTAATTTATATAATATGTGAATTCCACGACATCCAAAAAAAAAACCACTAAACATAGAAATAGACAGATAATTGCAACCTCGAGATGACATTTTAAGTAAAAAATACTTTCTTGTTTTCGAAGTTTTCGCAGTTTTGTTTTGTCCAAACAAATGGACACAGAAAATGAATATATCATTATGGAATATTTTAACTTAAAATGTTCGATAATAATCCTGTCAAGCATGCATTGAGCTAAAAAGTTTCAGAGAAGAAAATGGAAAAAGAGAGGCGAAAGATACCAAAGGGACATTCAAACTCTTTGGTCGAAAACAACCCGTACGGTGACCTATAGTTGTTAAATTCTGTGTCATTTGGTCTCTTGTGGAGAGTTGTCTCATTGGCAATCATACCACATCTTCTTTTTCATATTGACATCAGGATGGCAAAAAAATAAAAACGATCAAAAGACAAACAGCAGTACACAAAACACAACATAGAAAAACAAACGACTGAGCAACACGAACCCCACCAAAACACAACATAAAAAACAAACGACTGAGCAACACGAACCCCACCAAAACACAACATAGAAAACAAACGACTGAGCAACACGAACCACACCAAAACACAACATAGAAAACAAACGACTGAGCAACATGAACCCCACCAAAACACAACATAGAAAACAAACGACTGAGCAACACGAACCACACCAAAACACAACATAGAAAACAAACGACTGAGCAACATGAACCCCACCAAAACACAACATAGAAAACAAACGACTGAGCAACACGAACCACACCAAAACACAACATAGAAAACAAACGACTGAGCAACACGAACCACACCAAAACACAACATAGAAAACAAACGACTGAGCAACACGAACCACACCAAAACACAACATAGAAAACAAACGACTGAGCAACATGAACCCCACCGAAACACAACATAGAAAACAAACGACTGAGCAACACGAACCACACCAAAACACAACATAGAAAACAAACGACTGAGCAACACGAACCACACCAAAACAAGATTCACTGCACAATCTTAAAAGTTCTGCTAAAAAAATGATTTGGAATTTAAGTTTCAAAGTTGTGCGAAATTTGTGGTTTGTCTATTAGTTGAAAATGCGGCTTTGAACTAACTTTCAGTAGCTGCGGGCCCGGGTACTATTAGTTCAATAATTTGAGTCTTTTTGTGATTTTGTTTGTGTGCTAAGTACCGATATGTCGGGTAGACACTTTCCAACTGCATGATTTTTACAGTTTGTTATAGTGTTTTGTTGTTCCACCACTGTACCAAATATGGAAAGGGGGAAGGGAGGGGGGTTGGGGTGAGGTGTTGAGCGCAAACATGTTAAACTCTGTCACAAGTGTTCTAAACAAATGGTTGTCGCTACTTTCTATCTGTCATATATTTTGTTAAATTAGGCCGAAGGTCACACTTTTTAATCGTTTTAATTTTTATAGCTAGTAAACGTTATGGTTTTTGCTCATTATTGAAGATCATATGGTGACTTGCAATTGTTCACATCTTATTCCATTTTAGTCAGTTGTTATCAGTCATGTATGAAAAGCAAGTATAGGTCGAGTTTTTTTTATCCAAACGGAATGTATTAGAGACAGTGTATATATCAAGGAGGTAGGTTATCTAACCTCGTATATTTAACTGAAATAGACCAGTCAAAAATTAATTGTCGTTAAAAATGTCGCTTAACCTTATGCACCTTTTAAAACTGTTTTAGTAAGCATATTATGTTGAAAATTAGCATTTTAAAGGCATTTAATATCTTAAATAAAACTATTCTTATAAAATATATTTTTATCTGATATTGAACTAAAGATGTTGCCATTTTAATTTATGTAATTTACGATTATTTGAAAACGCTTATCAAACAGCCAAATAAATAGCCCAAAGTTAAAATAGGAGTCACAAATCCGATTAAATTTAATTTTTTGCCCAATTTTATTGATTCTGTAACGTTTGTTTCAAATGGGACCCACGGCTTTCCAAAAATCACCAGCACTGTATCAGGACCCACCAGCACAATGCCAGGACCCACCAGCACAGAATCAGGGCATGTCTACACAGAGAAAATGCACATTTTTTATAAATTGCAACGGTTTTTCACAACATAATTTTGTCGTACGGATTTGGGTATAGAAAAAAGTTAATCACAAAAATACTGAACTCCGAGGAAAATTCAAAACGGAAAGTCCCTAATCAAATGGCAAAATCAAAAGCACATACACACCAAACGAATGGACAACAACTGTCATATTCCTGACTTGGTACAGGCATTTTCTTATGTAGAAAACGGTGGAATGAACCTGGTTTTTAAGCGATAAACCTCTCATTTGTATGACAGTCGCATCAAACTTCATTATATTGACAACGATGAGTGAATAAAACAAACAGACATAATAGGTAAAATGTCAAAATAGGGGTACAGCAGTCAACACCGTGTCACAGTCTTAATCACAACAAAAACATACAAATATTTAACAAAGAAAAAGCGGACTCCAGGAGCATTTTTGTTTTCTTTTTTCAGTTCTAGATGTTCTAAAAGCGAGCACTTTTGTGTTACACTTACTGAAACAGTTTAGAGGGTCCATTTTTTAATTGATTGCATTTGAAACCATAAGAAACAAAATTTAAACATCTCAACCATTTCCTTCCATTTTTATTCGAAAAAACATCAAAAATCATCATTTTCGTCTTTGTTTACATATTTTTAATGATCACCAGCACAGATCGTTCTCTCGCAGGATAACCTTACCCACCGTGAGTAGTCAATGTAAATGTCCATTCTATCCCTCTCTAGCCAAGATGGTATGTAAACATACAATGTAACATCAGTATATTGAAGCTGTTTGAATATCCTGGTTATTGACTTGTTGGGTGTCTTCACGATTGTCCCACTTTTTGAAATTACAGGTTAAAAAGTAATGAAATTTTGTGGAACAATCGGGAACATGTTTGTGGGACAACTGAGAAGCATAAATGTGGGACAATCGGGAATAGTTTTGATAGGGATTAATTTGTTTTTATAGTGTGAAGCAGGTTATTACAGGTAACTTATCAATATAACTTATAAAATATGAAATAAACATAAACAAATAATAATATTTACATATTTTATCAATCGTTGAAAGGCTAAATAATTTTCTTACATACCCCCTTTTGAAGCTAAATGGTCGGTCCGTAAATGTTTTTTTCTTCATTATATGGACATGCATAGTATTCTGGACAATGCTGAAAGTATAGAAATTCTGGTACCAACGTTTTTATTTCAATATCAACTCGCCAATGCACGATTGAAGTGTCCGTGTAATACATATTCAAATACTAGTAGGTAGCAAATCTTGAAGAAAATCATTCAACTTATGTCACCAATTTTGGACGGTAAGCTGCGATTAGATCATATTGTGACACGTGTTTAATGCTGATCAACACTATTAGAGACATATAAAAACCTATAAGCATGAACAACTTTAAAATAATCCAAAAATATATGCCTATATATATCTAATAACAAGACAAAATCCATTTTTTCATAACATTTCATTGAAATAGGAAATTCATTCTTTTTATAGATTTATATTGTTATTGAAATCATATATATTGAATTCATATATATTGAACTCATATATTTGAGAGCAAACGTACGAATTTTATTATTTTTAACGAGGGAGTGGGGGAATGGAATGGCACATCCTGCATTTTTTCAACAAAAAAAGGATCAAGTCTGTTTATTTTAAATTTATTTTAACCCTCCCCCTCCACCTTCCGTTTTTCCTCAAATAAAAATCAAATGCTAGCTCGTTTACCTCTGAAATCTTTTTCATACATTACTCTCTAGCGAGGTTGCATTTTAAAAAGTCTCAAATGTGTACAACATTCATCTTTTACTTGACATGGTTCTTTTTTTATAAAATCATTAGATTCTTGAATTTCTTGAGAAAAAAACTCTCGGCTAAAGGGAAGTTAAAAAGTTTGTTTAAACTGTAACTTACATTAACTGACATATGGCCATTTAAGCTTCTAATCTGTTAAATTTTGCTACCTCTTCTAAATGCAAAATGTACTACTTCTTTCTTGAAGTCTGATACAAAACAAAGGTAACAAAAAAAAAGAAAAACCAAAAAAACAGGCAGGAAATAAACTGCAGTATAGTTCTTCTGCGCTTGTAGTCAGGTCAAGGTCCTCGGCTATCACCTTCACCTGACTACTCGTGCAGAAAAACTATCCGGCAACGGTTGTTACCGGCCTGTTTCTTTGTTACCTTTGTATTCACTACAAACCAGTAAAAGTCTGAAATGGCCTATATCTGTACTAGACTGTTCTGATTTTTACTCGACCAGTCTGAATTGGTCTGAATTTTACTCGACATTATTCGACCCCAGTCTTAACCATACTCGACCGTACTGATTTGTATTTGACCTTTATCTTTGCCATTGAAACTAGTCTGAACTATTACATGACCAGTCCGAAACAGTCTTAACCCATTCTCGACCTGTACTCGACCTATTTTTTCAGTCTAAACCATACTCGACCAAAGGTCTGATCAATACTTGACCAGTCTGAACCATACTTGACCAAATAACCTCTACTTTTTTTTAATTTTAGCTGTTAAAATTTATTTCTTTTTTTCTGACATGATAAATAAAGGCAACAGTAGTATACCGCTGTTCGAAACTCATAAATCGATAGAGATAAAAACAAATCCGGGTTACAAACTAAAACTGAGGGAAACGCATCAAATATAAGAGGAGAACAACGACACAACAAAAACACAACATTAAAATGTAACACACACAGAAACGAACTATAATATAACAATGGCCATTTTCCTGACTTGGTACAGGACATTTTAAGAAAAAATGGTGGGTTGAACCTGGTTTTGTGGCATGCCACAATAAAATAAAGATATATATAAAAACATATTTTTACATCCTTACAAGATTCTCAGATTTATCAAATAGAGATAGTTAAATCAAATTATCTTATATAATAATATAATTATATTAATTTCAAATTTTAGAGTTTTGTTTAAAAAAAAAGATTCTTTTACCTAAAAAACACACCTTTACTGAAGGTAATAAAACCTTATTAAGGTGCTTCTTGGTTGGCATGTGTTTTTTTTTATAAACTTAATTTTCCTAAATTCCTAAAGAAAAACTACATAGGTTTATGGTTACATACAATAGTTATATAATTATCTTTTTAATGAGTTAACAACAGCCAAAAAATCACTGAAATTGTTTAACCTTATATTAGAAATATATCTATTCTTATTATAATTTGGGATATAATATCAAAAAGGGGTAAAAATGTTAAAGAAATAAATAAAAAAATATTCTGAATAGTGGTAAAATATAAAGTAATACCTCCTGCTTGGGGCAAACTCATTAAAAAGATCACACCTGGTCAGAGAGAATTAATTTAAGATTCAGTAAAAATTGCAACATCCTGTAAACCTTAAATCTCAAGGCCTTTTGAATTCACTAGATAAGTAATACACGAGTTTAAGAAAAATAGGGCTTTCTTTTTTCCTGTAAAATACACATGTACTGAGGTAATTAAACCTTATTAAAGTTCTTCTTGTATGCCATGTCTTTAATTTTGACAAAAGTTATTTAAATTTAATTGAAATAAAATTTGTCTGCAACTTTGGAACACATTTCCTTTTTTAAATGGTAATCAAGGATTGCTATGGAAGTTCTATTATCATGATCATATTAAATTCTTGGTTTTACAAAACAAAGGTGTGATCTTTTAAATTTATTAAGTTGCTTTATATACTATTCTAAATATATTTTAATAAAAAAAATGTTCACTGCATTATAAACTAAACTCAACTGACACCATAAATCTATACAAGGCTTAAGTAAATGGTGAAAATTGTCCAGTAACCATAAAATATATCTGAAACAGTCAAAACATTTTGAATAACATTGTAAAACACCACAAAGGACCTCCTTTGTGCACAAAGGAGCAAAAAGGACCACAAAGGAGTTTGATATGAGCACAAAGGACATGAAATTCATTTCAAAACATAAAAATATTATAATTCATGAAGAAAAATGTAAAAAAAAAAAAATCAATTTCAATAAAAATTGCGATTTTAATCATGTTCGATTTTGAGTTATCACCGGTTTCGGTTTGGAACCGACTTTATATACGGGTTAAGTGATAGTTCGTGTATGTGATTTTTTAAATAGTTTAAATATATTAACATATAATATTAATATAAAATGTTAATTATTATTCTTGGTATTTTATTGTTGTAATTTTTCAAGGGTAAAGCATTACCAAAACTTCGAAAATTGTATAGGATAGCAATGTGTTTTTGTTGGTTTTTTTTTGTCTCATATATCATCACTTTGTTTTCTTACGTATGATAATATTTTTAAGTGAAGTATAAGAATACATGCATTATAACAAAAAAGTCAAAACTTTATATTTCCAATTATGATTTATTAAGATAAAACAAACATGATAAATAAATACATATGATTTAACAATAACATTTAAAATTTTGTTTTTGTCCTCACTGCAGCTGTCCTTGGCCGGTGACGTTGACCAGGCTTCTTGGCGAGACGTTTAACCTTCGGTATCGCAAAACCATTTGCCGCTCTTAACATATTCACTAAACTTTTTGTCACTGGCAAGCTTTCTGTAAAGCACTTCTTTTTCAATTTGGGAAAGACTGTGCCATTTGGAATGTTGTATTCTGTGTTTCTTGAAATTTCCAAAAAGTTCATAATTGCCGTTGCCAATTATACTGCGTCTTAAATTTGTGTGGTGAAGTTGTATCACATTGTAAATTTTATCTAAAAGTTCTGGTAATTGATGAGGTTTCCAGTTCAGTGCTACCTTAAACCGGTGGTTCATGGACTCACAGTTATTGTTTGTTCAGAGTCTGTTAGAGTCATATTTGCTATAGGGTTTTTAACATAATTGAACAAGCGAATTTTAAGTCTTATCTCATAATAATTGGCAAAACACGGAAAGCTGTTACAAAGTTCATTGGACTTGGTGTCGAAATCTAGGTAAACGGACAGAAAGTCACAGGACAAAAAGTCACAAGACATAAAGTCACAAATTTGATAGGACAAAAAGTCACAAGACAAAAAGTCACAAATAATTTGTTGACAATTGTTTGAATATATAAGAGAAAGATCTTGAAATATTTTCTTTTTATTACATATATTCATTTTTAGTTTAGGAAATTGTTCATAAGACTTGATAAATGAAAATTTATTAAATTTGAATCATGCAAAGGATATATTTTTGGCACAATGAAGCCATTTAATATACTGTATTATTCTTAATCAACGGCTTAGTAAGTGGTAAGAAGATAACGATCATTTATGCGAGGAACAAAATGGCTTTCGCAAGGGTAGAAGTTGTGAAGAACACATCCAAGCGTTATACCTGACTTTGAACGATAGAAAAATATCTCGACTGTCCACACATGTATGCTTTATCGACATGCGAAAAGCGTTTGATACCGTGAATAGAACACTACTATGGCATAAACTGCGAGCCTTGGGAATACATGGAAGCTTTCTTACAGCGATACAGTCACTTTACACTGACGTCAAATGCGCATGCATGCACTGTCCGACTGAATAATGACTTAACCCCTTGGTTTAACGTAGCGAACGGCGTAAAACAAGGATGTATTCTGTCACCAACTCTTTTTTCCGTTTATATAAACGACTTAGCAGAACATATCAACGCGCTTAACTGTGGTGTACGTATAGATGATACTATGTTGAACATTTTACTATATGCTGATGATATAGCATTGATAGCACCGGATGAAAACAGTCTGCAGCAAATGCTGAACGTTGTTACGGAATGGTTTGAAACATAAAAACTCTCCGCTAAGGTAACACGATACCGAATGACGTTACGCCACGAGTTATCGTTCCTGACGTTATAGAATAACGTTCACACATACAAGCCAATGCAGCAGGTTCTGCAATCACAAAGTGATTAAATAATAATATTAAATATTTTTGGTAATTCATTATGTGACATTTTTAACGGTAACTTTCCCTAGATGTAGAGTGCTGAGAGTTTTGACGCAATACGTAACGGTTAACTTATTTGACATAGATTGCTTTATCGTTTTCCGGCAATTCTTCTGCTCATTGTTAACCTTTAAAAATGTATTAATTTACTTTTAAATATTGTGTTTCTTTAATATTTAAGCATCTGCACGATTTATCTTGTATATGTTT